CTACATTACTCATCGGATACATCATGCAAATACAATGTAGACTATCAGTGTGGCGGGCTGTTAGAATGCACAAGTGCGAATAATAAACAACTAACACCTAGCATTTGCTACTCCGTGAATATCAAAACCATGGAATCCAAAAGCTTTGATGCTAAACTGAAGATGGAAAAACCAGGAATTGCCGTGCTAGGATTCCCATTATCAGTCGGTAGAGACACCTGAGCTTCGGCTTATACAGTCATCGTTCTGCATTATTATGGGTATATTACTATAACCGCTCGCCCGGAGCTTTAGGCTGAGTTCATCCGGCCCCGACTCCGGGGTCCGGTGTTATCCGTCCTTTGGCCTCATGTACCTGTACATGTATGTGACTTAATAGCTCTCGAGATCATCCTGATGCATGCCTGTGTGATACTGATATCACTTCAGCGAAATCATTACCGTTTTTTGCAGCCTTGTCAGACTATCAGAGGCTACATAGTGGACTTAGGGAAGAAATGCAGTAGTGTGAGTTCACATACCGGAACAGCTCTGCAGTGCTGACCACTAAGAAAACGGTTTCAAGTCTACCCTGTAGAGAAAATACAATGTAAGTTGACCTTGTGGTTGGCAGTATCAAAGTAGCATCAAACAAGTATAGCGGTCACGGTCCGGATTTGCCTCGAAGGCCAGACAGGCAGCTGGTGTTGAAAAGTGCATAATGATACATGATACAACAGTGGCATTTCCGCCGCATCGCGTGTAACCTACGAACCAGTCAGACACTGACGTGAGGCAGCCAGAGCAGCTGCATATGAATGATTTCCTCTTAGGCAGGTAACAGCGCTGGCCTATAAGTTCTGGTCAACAGCAACGTAGTAGGTCGGAATCATGCATGTTCTGTATAGTATACTGTTGGAAAACTTCCCAAGAATTGCTGTTGAGGAATCTGAACTTCACGTTTTCAAAATTGGAAGAAGAAGGACGAGCTGAAGTGACATTTGGATTACTTTATTAAACAATGTTAAAGTGATGGAGACGATGCGAAAAACGATCTAAAAGCTAAGGATAAATACATTTCAGGAGAAAAAGCGATGGAAACAATTCGCATCGTCTCCATTGCTTAATAAAGTAATCCAAATGTCACTTCAGCTCGTCCTCCGTATTGCAATTCAATAACTGTTGCCTCCACGTCGAATATTCACGTTTTTTAATAGCTATGAAAAGTATGAATGCCGCAGACATCACCACGCAACATGACAATTTGTTCAAGGTTTGGTTTTGTGTGTTTCCAAAATCGATTTTCACGCTCCGATCATCAGTGGAAATACGGAACTAAAGAGATCAAGGGAAAAAAACAAAGGTTAAAATTCTCTGTACTGTGTCGTGCCCGTTATGTCCAGCAGTTGAAGGTCCTTGAAGCTGTTTGTATTCGTACGCATAAGCCCGATTTGTGTAAGCAAAAAGAACATGTTTTAGCACTTAGGTTATTTTCGTGAGTTTGCACCCCGTGTTCATGAGTTGTTTCTGCACTGTTCATGCCCGGTTGTCACACTTACTCTTTATTTTAGTTCTCACTTTTTGTAATACTTACCACAAGTTACCCGTCATGTGTCACACTTCTTTGGATTTTTAACCTTTGTTTTTTTCCCTTGATCTCTTTAGGTCCGTATTTCCACTGATGATCGGAGCGTGAAAATCGATTTTGGAAACACACAAAACCAAACCTTGAACAAATTGTCATGTTGCGTGGTGATGTCTGCGGCATTCATACTTTTCATAGCTATTATTAAACTTTTATCTCCACGTAGATTATTTGTATATTCACGTTTTTGCTCTTTCTTATTAGTGTGATAGTATGTTTGTCTCCCAGAAAACCTTTTATTGTACTCCAACCAGGCATATTCACTAAAAGGACCTGAAAATGTACATGTACATGTACTAGACGGACCGGAGCAAACGTTTACAGGTACATAGAAAACTCAATTTTCGAACAGCTCTCGGTACTGTAGCTGCTTCGAACATTTTAGGTCTCACCAGAGGAGCTCAGGATGACTGGCCCAACCGACCCCAAAAAAGAAATTGCATGAGGACAGGAACTGTTCACCACCGTAACGATAGGACAAGCAGTCAGTAAGCGCGATAAGTCCGAGTTCAGTTTTAAACTTCTGTGAAGTGTCATGCATAAACGATCATCAGACAGAACTGAACACGATGTCCAGCGGATGTGTTTGATATACTTGTGTATTCTGCTGGAAGTGTGGATTGTTACTTTTATGTGCCAATGCCATGTCCAAACGTGTGTGAAACTGTGTGTTTGGGGGGGGGGGGATACGCATGGCAAGTCTCTACACCCACCAATATTGTGAATTTCATGTTATTGCGTACATAGAACGCGACCAAGCGGTCAACATCAACAGAAGGTCAGGGTTGGTATCAAAATGCAGACAGGGGAAACTGGTGCTTTCTCTCACCCTCTTCACGCCTGCTTTGTTCTTACGTTACTGTCGCTATCGCCCTCGATGACTCCGTAACACTGCCCTGTTATCGCCTCTATTCTCACCTACATGTATATGTACATCCGCTAACTCTCACTAACAACTCAATAGCATTGTCCCAATGCCACGTCTTCACCTCACGCATACATGTACGCATTAACTTCCACACTTGCACCAAATATCTAGGCTTGCTCATAGAGAATTCGATAGTAAACCATTGTGGCTGTTGTCTGATGATCCCTAAACGTGAAACTTTTAAAAAGTTCCAGCTACGCAGCCTTTCGTACTCTGTTGTGTGTGTATACTGCTCTGCACATTTGTGCATTGAGCACTCTACCTCGAGCAGCCTAGACCGGCCTTGTTTGTACAATCATGTACATGTACATGTATGTAGTCCAGTGCTCACAAATTTCAATAGCCTACTCAAGCTCAACCAAGACTCAAGAGTACATAACCCCCCCCCCCCCCCCCCCCAGGCCCAGAGTGTGCAACTCCACTATGGGTGCTGTCCCGACAGAATTTCAAGTTGACGTCATTTTGATGATGCAATGCGCACTGTACACGGGGATTATCAGACGAATCCGGAACCTGTGGTTGACCGAAGCCGATTGATCCTGTACAAATTATTGCAAAGAAAAGCGTGTGATGCTTTGACACCCGTACACATGTTGTAAAAATCACTGGTGCAAGGAGCATTGCGTCATAAATTATGACGTCAACTTGAAATTCTGTCGGGACAGCAGGGTATGTGGGAGTTGCACACTCTGGGGGGTTATGTACTCTTGGCTCAACTGATGAGGGGTGGATTCTTTCAGATTTGCCGAGTGGAAAGTACGATAGACTTCTCGTGTACTCTGGATGGCAATCGTAAGTCAGTCCAGTGCGAATTCAAATCGGCAGGAAAGGCGCCATGTCCCAAGTAGGGAACACCACAATTACTGGAGCTGAATGTTTACAAAAGTCCACATGAATCTTTCTCTGTCAGCCATACGACTTTCCTCTTCATATAATAACGTGAGTAGTCTCGTACTGGGATGGATTTTATGGGAAAGAAGTTACCGGTACCGGAACGCGGTGCCGAGACATGTCTATGCATTCGATATCAGTTACGACGCACAGGTTTATTTATTGGGCACTGACGTCATGACTGTGCTCGTCGTGTGGCAATACCCAAATATAGACACTCCAGGATAGCAGTAACCAAATTTGACCAAAGGCCACACTTCGCAATAATAATACTAGAATGAAATTTTCTTAGATTACAGAAAGAACACTGGGCGTTTACAAAGGGGAACAAAACAGAGAAACGCGGATCAAAGTAGGCAATGCAGCATGCAATAATCATGACAAGAGACCAGCAAACTGCAGACTTCCCACTGGACACGGTCACCTACATGTACGTACAGCACTCTGACTCTCATAAACACTCTCATAAACACTCTCATAAACACTCTCATGATCACGCTCACCCTCACCACTCAGCTCGCTACCTCCCTCACCATTCCTCAATCTTGTCGTTCGTCGACTGTTGAAGGTGGACTCGATCCTGCTCCTACTACATTATCAATTTTTTTGTTCTTGCTCCGCAGGCCCTTTGATCCCAGTGTTTTACTCAGGGAATCGTGAAATATCGGTATTTTACGACTCCCTGGTTTTACTCACGGTTCTGTGTTCCCTTATCACTATCAGCTGCTTATTCTGCTGAAGGCAGAGTTATCACGTGATGCTGTAATCGAAGCAGGTCTGCGTACAACCAATAGTCCAGATGTTTATGGACTGTTGTTACCATAATAAACGATTGGTACCTTCAAGAGTACATACACGTATTGACTCTTGGTACTGTGTGACCCTGTAGCTATCGATGTCATGTACATACGTGGTTATGGCTCGCAGACCCATACCATAGCTACATTGTAGCCGGCCATACATGTAGAAGATTGGAGCTGCATTCACACACTGGTACGGGTGGGGGTTATGCCTTGCTATTATGGGCGGATTGATCACCATATTTGCATGGACCTACTTCACACTACTACATGTAGTACTAGTCTGGTTTATACAGAAGCCTTGCTTGGTTATGGGTGTAGTCAGGAGCACTACGCGTCCTCGCCTTGTAACATGCTGTCAAAACCGAAAACATAGTACTAGTATGTAGGAGCACAGTAGTGGCTGGTGCGACTGTCTGGAAAAAAGTTCGTATCCAGCGCCTGTAAAAGGTTATGCGATACACGTCATTGCCACCCCAAATTCTTCTATATAAGGGGTTTCTGTGCCCGCTTTGGGCATTTTGCCACCCAACTGGCTCCTATATATATGTATGGCGGATTTGACGTTATCGCATAACATCTAGCATTGGCTGTGCACCTGTTTGGACTGCTACCATCCAAGTATGGCACAGTGTAATTGCAACCATTTTGCTATTCGCCAATGATGCCAAACCTTTCTCCAGCAAGCAGCACAGTTCGCTGCTTCCTGCTAGACACCACTCTTCAGTACTGGTATCGTTTCTCGTTTCCACAACTTACTAGTGAAAGATAACTCTCAGTTCAAACGGCTTCTTCCGGAACTTGTGCCCCACCGTTTTCCAAGTGTTTTTAAAATTCAAACAGCTTCATTTGTTCTTAGAAGCAGTCCATACTACGAAACTACAACGTGTATTCTGGTTACTTTTCTACTAAACTTTGGAAACCCTCAGGGAACTTGAAACGATTCGGTTACTAGGTGTTTTACAACAGCGTTGTGCACCTTGCCTGAGTAGCTGGCTCACCCCCTGTACGTTTGTGAGCAGATGGGATTCAGTGAAGCATAGGTGTAACTCTGTATGACCTTCTATACGTCAATATTCTCTTTCTCTCTTCTTTCTTGTTCGTCCCCGTTCATAGTTGATCATTGCGGTCTGCGACGAGTGGATGAAGTTCCCATCTGGCAGACAACCAGCTCGTGTGTGCATGGATGGTAAGTCAGGCAATAGTCAATACCTACATGTACACCTGTAAAGCTGTTTCGAACAACACCCATTGCACATCCTGTAGTCTAATGTTCACCTTCCCCACATCCTTCCTTTCAGACAGTGGTCCTAGAGACCAACAGCAGTGTGTTAGTGATTGCGGGTCTGGATGATCACGGGATGAAAACATCTTTGCTACCGTTCCTGATATGATTCCACTGGCTACTACCACATAGCCCTTGGCGGATAATAATACTAGCAGAAAGTTATTACAATTTCAAATTTGGACTTCACGGAGAATTTTCAAAGTGTTAGGAAATTTGAGGCCACATGCCACGTACTGCTCTTTTTGGAGAGAAAAGAGCAGTACGTGGCATGTGGCCTCAAATTGCCTAACACTTAGAAAGTTATTAGTTGACAAAAATCGTGACTTTTCTGGAATGTTTCATGCATCTTTGGTACGTGCATAAAGAAATACAGCAGAATTCAAGGGAGGTCCTGTGATGAGGTTTGTAACGTCGGCCAATTTCACTTCTTTTTTATCAGAATTTGCCAATTTCCCGATAAATATCCGCCAAGGGCTACTACCATATTGCATGTACAGCAAAGTGACTCAAGAGCTATCCCTTCCCAGCCTAGTTGAAGCCTTTACCTCACACAGAGAAGGTCAGTACGGACACGGGGAAAGCTCATCAATGATTTAAAGAGGTATACATGGCACATGCAGCTTTGATGCTATTTGTCCATCTCTCTTCGACCTCCTACCCATACTTCGAAGTACACACACAATTTATTCCGGGATAAGATGAAGCAATGATCTGCTTTAGAAATCAATTATCTTTTATTCATGAAGCTTAACATCCTCGTATCAAAACTGTGAATGCGCACTCATGACTCCATGCCCACATGCAAGCAAGATCGGTTTAGTGTTTCCCAGAACGTTTTCTTCTCATATTCAGCAGTTGGCAGGCATCACAATAGGGAAGCAAGGAAGAAGAACAGAGTATTTTGCAAAGAAAGTGGACAATGTTGTACACCTTGATAAAATTCATCAAGGCACTTGTTCACGGTCAGCCTCATGGATACTGTATTAGGCCCTGACGGATTATGCTAGCATAATTTTTCGCATAATTCCTACCAAAATCGAATAATCGCATAATTCGAGGCAAATCGCATACGAATCGCATAAATAATGGAATAATCCGCCTGTTCGCACCAAATTCCATAGAGTTGTACATGTTCTACAAGTACAAGTAGATACACCAGGAAGTCGTAGGTTTACGACTCCCTTGATTAACATGTTCAGTCCATTACAATCAGTGATGGTCGTAGCTACAATTGTAGGTCGGACGGTGTTTAGAGTTAGAGTTCAACCTTCAATCCAGTCTTTAGTAATAATAAAGTTAACAGCAGTGTGTTCACTGAGACCCGTCTGCATTTGCCTCCGAGAGACTGCGGCCCGCTACACGTTGACCCCGTTGAACTTGTGCTACTACAGTACAACGCCCTATAAAAAAATCCCCTGTTATTTTGCACAGAACCATCATATACATTAGCAGCATATGTGAGCATAATGCGGCATAATATGATAACTTTTAGCATAAAAATAGCATAATTCTGCAATTTTTTCAGCAATGCGAAAAGCATAATTTCACGAAAATATTAGCATAATCCGTCAAGGCCTATACTGTATTCACCCAAATACATGTACAAGTGAATGTCCTGATGTGCGAAAAAATGCATTTTTTCCATTTCGCCAGGAAACAAATGTTCCGATTACAAGGGCATGTCTTTCAATACGATTATTCAAGTCTTCAAAATACACTCTTGGGTCTTGTGTTTTTTCATGCTTTTACGTGTGCCCTTGTATTCGAATATAAGTGCGTGCCCTTTTATGGGCGTGTATACCATAAAAATGGGAGGTATGCATCAAATATGGTCGTCACCTTTATGCGGGGCAAGTTGCCCCACCTTTGGCAGGTACAGCCCATTCTAGTACACTTATGAGTCCATGGCCTTTCATGCAGAGCTGGCATTACAGTGTGTACGGTTGCAGTGGACTTTCCCCGGAAAACCTAACGGCGGGAAATGGATGCATACATGTATGTCCCATTGTGCAATTTTAAAAGCAGGTGTAGCGTCTTTGTGCTCCGCCCGTACAACACAGCAACAACAACAGAGTTGCATAGCCAGTGGCTGGCAATGGCGAACTGATCCTATCAAAGAAGTAGGCCACTGTGTGGGCATATGCGGATAATGCCGGCAGAAAAATTGGCAGAATTCGGTACTTTTTCTGGCAAGTTTCATGCATGTTTCGTATGTCGATAAAGAAATGGAGCAGAATTCGAGGAATTGCCCACCATAAGGTTTGTATGGTTTCGAGCAGAATCTACCACCTTTTCGAGCATTATCCGCACACCCCTACCACTGTGAAGTGACGACCACGTTGTGCTATGTCTGCTTTGCGCAAACTCGCACTGAACACCATGATTGTCATGGCTACGCACAAAGACACGTGCTTTCCAACTCTCTTACGGCCGTTGGAAAGCATATCTTCTTTGAATCTCTCCCATATAGAGATTAATAGAATTCTGGCAACGTAAACAACAGCAACTCCGTCTAAACTGTACATCCCTTTTACAATACTCAGTTAGCCCTTTCCCAAAGGTGCTCTTTTAATTCGCACTTAGTGCTCTTCGCGTCCCTCAAAATATGCTGAAAAAGTTCTCTTTTTCCAGTGAAAACAGGCAAAAGGTGCTCTTTTTTCAGTGAAGCATAGCCATGATACATGTTCAGATATGAACCCAAGCTGAGAAAGGAATACGCACTCTTCCATTTATGGGTCCACGAAAGGCAAAACAGGAAGTAAAGTTCAAAACCCCACTTTTTACAGCATTGTGTACAAGCTTCACCAACTTGTTGCCCCGAAAAACGGCGTGCCGGGGCCCACCGAGCACTCGGAAAATGTGATCGCATGCACGAGCAAACAGATTTTAGCACTTTTTCAGCTCAAAAAGCTCAAAAAGGGCGATATTCACCAAAAAACGCAATAAAGGGCGAAAGAAACGGGCTTTTCCAAAAAGGGCCAAAAAGGGCGAAAAAAGGGCGAGCACCTTTGGGAAAGGGCTATACTCAGCATGCATAGGATGGCTGCAGTGATCATGGTAACAACCTATGTCCATGAGGGTGTGTTGCACGTGCTACCTGGGTATATTGTTTGTTTGTTTCTTTTATCGTGAACCTAACATTTGAATTCGTTTAGAGCACAGGCAATTCTGCCTTCTCACCAGAGGAAAAACTTCCGGTTCCTGCTAAGAACGAACAGATATATAAGAATCACCACCAGAAATGACTCACTTGCATTGCCCAATTCTATTATAAATGACTGTCCATGTCGTGTTTTGACGAAAACATTACCCAAACCCACTAAGAAATCAAAACCTTTTAAAAGTATTGAAATGAAAGAGTAGGGCGAGTTGGGCATTCAACACACACACACACACCTGGTCCTGGTCCTGGTAAACACTGCCATTACGGTCACGTGTCCCCTTGCGGGGCCGACAATATGGAACGACGAGCAACGGCAGTCCGCTGAGAGAGAGGTACTAGGTCAGGGACTCAGGGACCATGTTCGAGAGAGCCATCTCTGGCAGCGATCTGGCTTATCATGAGAAACGATTCCTCTCACGGCTGTCGCTTGAACTGGTCCATCACTCTCCACAACCGTCAACAGAGCGAACATTCCATGAGCCAATGCTCAGAGTCATTCCAAGTCGTCGTCTTCGTGCGGTAGTTTGCTCCACTCGCGGGCTTGCAAGGCCTCACGAAGGACTCCGAGGTGGGGCGACGAGGAGAATGTCGGCATCGTAACTATCCAACCAAGTCTCCATTGATGAATACCCCACCTCAGGCACTGTTGGCCTGGACGGCTGGGGACACCCCAGGCCGTCCACAACGGTGAGAACAAGCACGGACCAAGGCGAGAAACAAGAGCCCGAAAAAGTACAACCGTCCTCCACCAGAGCAGAAAACACACACACACACACACACACACACACACACGCATACGCACACACACACACACACATACACACACACACACACACCACTGGCTATGGTCCAGTATCCTCTAAAAACGGTTTCGTTGCCATCTCATCAGAAGGATTGTCCACCTTTACCTTTTTATCATACATCCGGTAGTTCTATTGCTTTGTTTTCTTTCATATCCATTTGTAGGTTGACCATTCTTCGCTTTGAAGAAGGTTAAGATGGCACCTTTCCCCCACCAAGGCACATCGGTTATGTTACTACTCTCTAGTATCACGTGCTGTGCCTGCACTGTGTTCCCTGGCGGTGGACCCATCGAAGGTGAGGTACAATATTAAGGCTCGTATTTGATCTTTTTTTCGAACCTATAGATTTAATAACATCACCCCCACCATCATCATCATCATTATCATCACCACTACCGCTGCTGCCATCCCCTGTGCCACGGCCGCCCCCAACAACGACAACAACAACAACAAACATACCATAATTATGTCTTCCTTGTGCTTAGCACCTGCCAACTCCGAGGAATGACAACCGTCTCTGCCCCCTTCGTATAAGGCCCTTCAGTACTTTAAATTGGCCGCTTAGCAACACCGGCGCAGGATGACCACCTAGATATACCTCGGAGAGTATAATGGAATGACCACCATCTAAAAAGACCGTAGAGCAAAGGGCAAGAGAAGCGAAAAATGATAGGAATTACGCTATCAGGCCAGTATGTTTGCGAAATTCATGATCGAAACTGTTCTTCAACCTTCAAACCTGCTGTGAATACGACCACTCTATCCTGCAAAATACCTTTGATTTCAGATAGAAGACATGTACATCTTGATTTGAGTATTATATTTATTCTCGTTCCACTGGATTTTCGTTTGCACCTGCTGTACTTTGCAGAATACTATGAGCGTGGTGCAGATGTACTCAATGGGCCAACGTGTAAAGTCAGCCGCGGCCAAGCTTTTCTGGACATAACAAATGAAGGTTCAAGAGGATCTTGCCCTCGACGAGTTCAGTATAGAAGGGCAGGTCTGTCTGTCTTCCAGAGACTCCTGTTCTTCAATGCGGACTACGAAATTATCCAGCTGAGACTTCTCAACTACTCCGGTGTTCATAGTTCGTACTCGTGTGGTGATGATCGAAGGCCTTTCTCCCGAAGAAATAAATACTCTATTCGCCTCGGCAGTAAGTATTATAAAAATAGTGTTTGACTATGAATGCTACCATGGAAACTCATAGTGTTTACAAGTTTAAAGAACACTAGTACCAGGGCAACTAAGGTACATCTTGTATGTCCGTGGGTGTCAGCGGTGATTAGCGAACTTTTGGAAACGAAAGAAGGTTATTGTGTACTTGGCGTGGCATGTGGCTGTTGCTGGGTCTAAAGCCAGGCAAACCAAATGTAATGTGTTATTTGTCTGCCATGCCAACATCTTGAATTTTTTCTCTATTTAACGGAAACATGGATGCAGAGCATGAGATGTTGGTCTTCAGTGCGGAAACCTCTGACTGAGTCGCGCGAACCACGACAAAATTTAAAAGAAAGTAGGTTTGACTTTAATATGAAGGTGAATTCTCTGAAAGAATGTGCATTGAGGAGGGGAGTGGAGCTTTCTTGCTGGTTCACCGAGGACTTTCCATGTGCTCTGGATAGCAGCAGCAAGTCAGTTGGGTCAAGTGAGCGGGAAACGTCTGAACTCCAACATTGGGAGCGAGTAACTTTCTTATAATTATCCCCGAAGTTCCGCAGGAGGCCAGTATTTTTTGCTATTCGAAAAGAAACACACAAATAGAAACAATGGATAAGAATTGAACCCATAACCATACGATTCCCACCTCTGATCCTTATTGGCGAGCCACTTTGCTGGTGCTAGAAGTTAGCTACAGGCCAGTCCAGATCAGGCTTCTATTGTGCATGTGTTATAAGACTGAGATTGGCTAATCCAAGACCTTTACTTCATACACGTACTACTGCTAGTTGTAATCACTGATGGTGCGTTCTGTGCCCTGCATCCTGCCTTTGTTCAGAGCCAATTGTTGGTATGAATACTTACCTTCGAGGAAAGAGAGGACTGGATTATCAGCCCCATGTGCCACATGTTTACGATGAAGGCTCGGTCATTCCTCCTGTGATCTGTGCACCAAGGCATGGAGCTCCAAGAAGGAACTCTACTACACTCACTATACATTATAGTGACGGTCGCACACGTACAGTTCGACCGCACCCGCATGCCAGAGGACTGTATTTCAAGATCGAAAGCTCTCGCAACTCATCCGGTCGATATGTGTGCTCGGCTGAAAACAAGTTCAACAAAAACCCGGTTGTGGTTGTCCACCGAGTCGATATACTACACGCACCTGTTTTCACTGGTACAAAGGAGAATGTGACGGTCGAAGTGGGTCAACCTCTAGAAGTTCAATGCATAGTTACCAGTCTGCCATCTATAACCTCAATTACAGTCGAGTTTCCGGATGGGTCACATACTTCAGTTCCGGCTACACCATTTAATCAAATGCAAAAAGCAGCGAGAATTTTGAGAGCGGCCCATGCTTCTGTCCTAAATGAAGGATATTTCAAGTGCATTGCTAGTAATGGCATTGGAAATCCAGTTGTGAAGGTCATTCGCGTCGCTATTACCAGTGAGTATTATCACCTGCTGTCTGTCTGTCTGTCTGTCTGTCTGTCTGTCTGTCTGTCTGTCTGTCTGTCTGTCTGTCTGTCTGTCTGTCGGTCTGTCTGTATGCTTCTATGTCTGTCTGTCTGTCTGTCTGTCTGTCTGTCTGTCTGTCTGTCTGTCTGTCTGTCTGTCTGTCTGTCTGTCTGTCTGTCTGCCTGCCTGCCTGCCTGTCTGTCTTTCTGTCTGTCTGTCTGTCTGTTTGTCTGTCTGTCTGTCTGTCTGTCTGTCTGTCGGTTTGTCTGGGAAGCTGACTGGCTGGCTGCATGTCACACCAAGCGAGGGCTTTCTTCTCCAAAAGATAACAAACCAGCAAGGTCCCAGTAGAAATAGGTCAACTACAACAGTATATAGCCGAACTGCACAACAGGAGCTAGACTTGATAGTTGATACTGACGAATTTAGCGTTTCCTCAAGTCTATTATATTCATGGACTTCTTCAGAATGATGTTGGGAACAGAGGAGAACATGGTTAATATAGCAGGAGACTCCGAGAGGACATATGCCAATAGTACGATGAAATTGCTACAACTACGTCCTCTGGAAACCAAAAATTCGTGAGTTTTCTATTCCTATTCTACTAATCTTATTGTTTGGAGTTTCCCATCTATCACAGACTTCAAAGACAAATCGTTGCAACAGTTACCCTACAGTAACTCAATATCATCAATTCCTGATGTGCCCATTCATGCTCCACAATGGACCTTATGCCATTTGTACAGATCCACGAAATCCCGTAGAATCCCGTAGACCCGGTAGGGTGTTGAAAGTGCAGGACCCTATTGTGTGTTCTGCTATTTCCACTAAGAAATGGGGCCTGAAGGCATTTCATACGAAACCCTTTTCTGACAAAGATCTAGCGAGTCATTAGTTCTAACCAAAGTGAAGAAGCTGAAAAAGCGATTGTTGGCCATTGAATTATGACGCAAAAAAGGTCAAATGCACATGCATAGCACACAATGAACACCCTACCGGGTCTACGGGATTCTACGGTATTTCGTGGATCTGTACAAATGGCATAAGGTCGATTCTTGCCTCATTGGCTCCACACAATCGCATAATCCCCTTGAAACTGTGCATTATCCCATACATACAGCAAGTGGATGATATGAGGCTGGCACCCAAATCCCCCCCCCCCCCCCAATACACACACACACACACACACCGATAGAGTGCGCCTGAAGCTATAGTCTGATAAACATAAAACATGTGCATGTATGTGGATACTTAGCACTCCCGTACTCTCTTTACTTACTAGTATCCGGTAGAGATCTGCCAAGTTTATGTAGTTTCCAGATGAAAGGAGGTCTAACTATGCTTGTGTACTGCTTGGGTCTTGGTTTATGCATTCACTAAACCTGTGTCTGCCGGGCCATGTACCAAGTGGAATCGTGTGCTGACCGGACAAATATCCATGCAACAAAGTGCTGTGGATCAAACGTGCATCCCTGCATGGCTTAAACGGAATCCCGGCACATCAGGACAGTCTCCGCTGCACCAAGGACATCCGGTTAAGGCAGGTTTTTTACTGTATTCGGCATGTACTGTGTGTAATGCGTGTTGTTGCAGATGCTACTGTACCTGTAGTGAACTCCACCATAGCTCAGCCATCATTTGCCACTGGAAGCCTTGAAGCCCCTGCTGGAAAAGTGAGGCCTGGAGACACTGTGTATAAGGTCAGACGCGGGCACCCTGTTGGAAAATCAAACCCCGGAGATACCGTGGATGTGGTCAGATCTGTTGGAAAAGTCAGGCCTGGAGACAATGTGTATAAGGTCAGACCTGGACGCCCTGTTGGAAAAGTCAGCCCCGGAGATACTGTGCATGCGGTCAGACTCAGACGCCCTGTTCATCCAGCTAACTCGAAAAGAACACCAATGCTGTCTGTTCCTCAGCCAGATTTCAATTCATCCGAAGGTAAACGGTCTTGAGCATACAAACAGATGTCAACTATCAATGATTAATGATAATACCTGTGTGCTTGTAGCTTCCTAAGTATCATCGTTGCCTTTTCCTAATGCTGGGGAAGTGCAGAATCCTTATAAAGTATCGGCACTGGTTCGGATGTAGAGCGCTGTGGTAATGGGAATGTCCACACAAATTCATTTCTTGTCAGACGAAGCTGAAAGAATTCTCACGACTTGTGCAAACAAAACTTAGAAATTTCGACTTTGGCGGTATTAGTCATGAAGTTGGTTGTTCCAACGAGGAATGGCTCCTCGTGTTCTCCGGATGGCAGTCGTGAGCCAGTCAAGTGTCAAGTTCGGCAAGACGTGTGTGTTCCTCGTTGGAACAACTAACTTCACGACTTCTACAAACAAATCATACTAACAGTGGTCCAGATAGGAGAGGGGGCACATGGATATGAGTTATCAGCAACTGTCGACCATGGTAACTACAGTCCTGCTCAATGAAATCCAGTCTCGTCACTCAAGTTTGGGCCTTGCACCATTTTGCAGCCCAGTGTTTTCAGGTCCAGAACTGCACGTACTTGAGTGACGGAACTGGATTTCATTGAGCAGTACTTTAGATATTTTATGCATGTTTTTAGTTAGAAAGTGCTATAAGTATGGACCAAACTGAGAGAGCACTGAGGCATTCAGCGAACTGCTATCTAGCTCCAATATATTTCAATTGCACAAACCAACAGGTGTCCAATTTGAAAGGCTACTGGATAAAGAAGACCAAACCAGGGAAGGTGAGCACACCATTGATGAATACAGGCTCACAGCAAAGAGTGCCTGATAATACGTACACAGAATTACACAGAATTATAGATGATCTGACAAGATATCAGCACGTTGTCAATATCATCTGGGTACTAGTAATCGACACTTCTACACCCTCTTTACTGATCCAGTAGAGATCAGCCCACCATATATGGTCGCCAGATCAAAGGTCACCATTATTGTGCTTATGTACTGCTACAGTCTTACAATATGAGTATCTGGCATGTTTTGTGTGCTATTTCAGACGCTACAGTCCTCGTATTCAACACCACTGATGATGCAGCTAATAATGGAAACACACCAATGCAGGATGATCCTTGGTTTCAGTTCAGTGCATCAAAAGGTATGTGAGTGGTCTTGTGTATGCTCAGGTCAGTTACCAACTAACAATGATGATAACAGCTCCTTCGACAGTGTATGCACTGACACAGTCCACGCCAGCTTTCTAGAGCTAAATGTTCTGATAATATTTCTCCATTTACCAGTACTTGAGATATGTTCATCAGGTTTTAAGGGAGTTGAAGCAGGAAGTCTGAAGGAAAATTGGCTGCCATCACCTAGACTCAAGCCAGGGACCCTAGCATATAGCCTGAGGTTCTCTACCACTTAACTACGGTAAAGTCATCATCCACGCAGCGATTGTGCAATATTCTCTTCAGATTTCGGTGCAATGGAACTCCGGTAATTGCGCGAAACATCTAAGTTAGAGTACAGTTAAACCTGTCTTTACCGGACCGGATGCTCCTGGTACAGCGGAACCTATCCTTATACGAGACGATTCCTCTTGATAGGGGAGGCATGTGTGCCCCACAACACTAGTATGCAGGTTAAATTGATCAGTATGACGTCATCTTCGTTTCTAACCAAGTCAATACGGCGAACTTGGTTAGAACCAAAGATGACGTCATGACGATCAATTTAGCATGCATAGTATTGTGGCCCACGCATTCCTCTATTAAGAGGAGTTCTCTCGTCTCCGGATAGGTTCCACTGCACCAGGGGTCCGCAAAAGACAGGTTTTACTGCACTTTAACTTAGATGCTTTGAGCCAGTTCCACAATACGCGAAACTTACTTGCATGAAACACGAAATGAACTTTCGTGTGAAGTTTCGTGAGATTGCGAGTTCATCGTATGCTGCCAGTAAAAATTGGACTTGGTGTTTGACATCCGTTCCACTGTCCATGTTGGGCGGTATTCCACTTGCTTAGGCAAGTTTTCTTTGGCAGACCGTCCTTACATGAAAAATTGTGCGGTTGCGACAGGACTCCGCTTGATCCAGGTGAACTCAGGGTGTACTGTACTCTAACTGCAAGAAACTCAGCGTGCCTTGCACGCGAGGTAGGGCGACATTGATACAAACCAGAAAAGTGCTCAACCAGGGTGATGTTGAGCTATCATGAAACCCCTCAGTTGTCAGCACTTGCATCTAGGTTTGTGAAGATACTGATACTGGGGAGACGAGAGGGCGGGACAAAGGGCCCATAGATCATGAGAAAGAGAGTGCTAAACTGTGCGGGATATGGACCAACGCACGATGAATACTTTCCGCGAAAGCCAGCCTCCGGCGTCTAGCAACAAGAGCGATTCAGCAATAAGATGGCATGGACGAAACTAGTCACAAGAGGGAGTAATAAAAGGGAAGCCTAAAAATACCCATCTCACAGTTTATAGCACTTTTTGTTATGCTTGTGACCAAGGACAAAATTAATAATAATTACTACACTTATAAGTTGCAAATGGGAAAAAGTCTGTAGAAAAATTGACTGCAGCCACCAGGACTCGAACTAGGGACTCTCGCTTATGGCCAGCAATGCTCTAACAAAATTACAACACTTACAATTACAATTGCACTTACAATTACAGCACTATCGTGTTTTTGTTTTGTTTTGTTCTAGGATCTGGTGAATCTCCTAAGAAACCAGGTAAGATACCCGGAACACTGCTGCTCTGCTGTACACCAGCATCACAGGTATTGGATACGTCCAGAGTTCTCATAACACACACACACACACACACACACACACACACACACACACACACACTTGTACTTGGTGCTCACTGCCAAAACTGGTCACGTGGGTCTCCTCGGGAGAGGGGAGAGAGACTCAAAAGGAATCTTTCACACACACACACACACATGCACACACACACACACACACACACACACACACACACACACACACACACACACACACACACACACACACACACACACACACCATGTACCATGTACAGTCCGTATCGCCTATAAGGTTGGTGGCTATAGTAATATACCAGATATAGTGATCAATTTCTCAAGTTCATTTTCATTTGCAGTATCGGTCATAGTATATCGCTTATAGTGATAAAATGATCAAAATCAAACACCTACACCAAGGTTCAACTCAAGGTTCAACTCGAGTGACAGGACTGCACCCAAAAAAAGTCAAACAGGCTAGTAAGTTGTACCCTGCAGGCACGGTGACCAGGTGACTGGTGTATGCAGAAGCACGTGACCGCTTGTTCAACCATGTTCGATTGGGAATAAAGGAGGAACGCTACATCGCAGCCTTTTCGGACCAAAACCAGTCGACTCAGCGTCCAAAAGACTACAACATATGGGCCAATCGCCGTCAACCGTGCTTTTATAAAACGACATGGCGCTTTTAGTGACATTTTGCATGCAAATCCCCATCTAGTAGGGCGCAGTCACCCAGTTTTGGTGGAAGTCCGCGAGTTCGATTGCGATTAAAGTAGGAAGGGAGCGTCTCAGCATCCTCGGACCACGACCATTCGACTCAGCACCCCGAAGACTACAACTGGTGAAAATTTGATTTTAGCCTTAACTTCCCCTTTAACAACATTGCTTGTCTACAACATGACTGGCACGCATGTACTTGAGGCAGCCACATCCTACCATAACGGGCAGGTTCTGTTATGCGAAGTGGGTTATTTCCCGTTTTTAGTAAATTGCAATGTGGAGATAGAAAGGTGGACAGGGAAAAGATGCAGGATGAATTCTATGCCTCTTTTCTTCCTCCATTATTGTAGTAACATAATATAACCCTCACCCAGGACCCAATCGACCATTACACTGTCAGCGTAGCAATGCAGGACTATTTCATTCAAGAGGATAAAGTAAACAATTGGAGCAATAGCATAGCTTCATTTTGGAGTTAACGTTATAATAATTATTACTACATTTAAAAAATACATGTATGCCCTCTCATTCATAGGTTGATAGCTTCTACTGGTGGGTAAGCAGATGGAGTTTCCTGCTGGGTACATTTCCTATGATGTGTGAACGATCAGCGTTCTGAGTGCATAGCAAGGATGGATGTTTTGCGCATTGTGCTTCCAGATCACGGAGCAACATTCGCTGTCATTGGAGGAGTGTTGGGCGGATTGATTCTTATTTGCGCCGTGCTCGTGGCTTACCATCAACGCTCCCGGCGGTACCCTGACGTGGAGATTCGGCCAGAGCGACCGTCGTATGGGGCTGCAAAGTCGAGCGGGCCGGTGAAGGCGAATCCTTTCAGTACAAAGTTGATGCCGGTTCCTTCCCTGGAGTCGTGTACCGAAATTCCTAACCAGCCTGGCCTTCTATTTGGTGTGAACGGCATCTTCATGTCTCCAGATGTACGCACTAGTATCAGTGAATACCCATATTGAGTCTGGTCAAGGCAGGTCGGATCAAGGCAGGCTGAAAAGCACTTACTGTTACCAGTGTGGAGTGTTGGATACATGCAACGCGCCAACATGTTTGGCTCGGCGCATAAACACCGCCGCTCAGATTGGGCACGTAATACAACTCTCCGCCGGCATTTTTTCAATAAGGGTTTCTCAAATCGGTTCACATAGTCACGCATATTTTCCCATACTTTTCTTCTGTTTTCTTTGCCAAATTCTCGCCAGCAATCCCAGTCGAGCTTTACCTTTCCTGTGAAGAGTACTGCCCATACTATAGCCTACATAAGCGAATACGTGGGCCGGGCCAGTGTGTTCGACACTTGCTTCGCTGAGGCGGCTATGGAAATTCAAATAATTATTGAAGTAATAACATTTTCTTCTTTGCGGGGTCTGCATTGTGACCCGCAAAAAAATGCTCAACTCTGCCCGAAATATTGATGGCAACCCGTACTGTTGGGATATGTTTGAATTCTATCTACTGTAGATATTCGCTTCACACTACCTGATGGCATAATGCATACTAGTACATGTTCGCCGCACAATGGCTGCGTAATATGCTTGCTTCCCCGCATATTTATATACAGGTACATGTCATGCAAATAAGTTGTGTGATGTCTGTTACTGACTGGCAAGATCTACTTGTACAAATATGAGTTATGAGTAAACTGTCTTCACTCAGATGCCTGCCAGCCGCCAGTTGCCAGCAAGAGCACGGGCATAACTCCCCGTCTAGGAGTGCTGCCATTGCTGAGCCACCGTGCTCGCAGCGGAGACTTCTGTGTGTGTTATGGATGTGTATATGTGTGTATGGTGTGTGTGTGTGTATGTGTGTGTGTGCGCGCGCGCGCACGCGTGTGTGTGGACCACAAAGGCAGCTTGGGTTTGTGCATCTGGCCGTACAGTCAAACAACTTTAGATGAACACCAAGGAACTGATGATGTTCGCAATATCATTCTTCTTACTGTATATCAGCGCCTTTAAAGCCATGGCCTTATATTCGAAACACCGCTGCTTTCCTACATAATTTAGATGCAAAATGACTCACCCACTACGCCATGCCATAAAAGTCAAAATCCACACAGAAATTTCAATCTAAATCTACTTCACCCGTCCTGCTGGGCTGTGAGTGTGCTAGCATGGTGCTTACTCCTTCATTTTTGCAAAACATACTTCGAATATCATTTTCATTTATGAAGCCCATGGCTTTATAACTGAGACTGGCTTTATAATCGAATATACCGCCAAGGCTTTAAAGGTGCGAACATACGGTATCCATAATTATTATACCCAGCGAATACACCGCTATTTATCCAATGGAGTTGTGAGTACTACTGTACTACTGTACTACTTGTAGCTTTTATGAAGGTAAACCTTTACCATATCAGAGACTTTTTAGAGTGCGCAACCAAAGGTTGTATACAAGTCGGCGGTATCTCAGCCCATGGTAGAGATTGGCTTTAGGTCATCTGTTAGTCAGTCTTTCGGGGCCATTTGATAAGATAAAAAATCACGGATCGCGTGAGACTCGGCTGGAAGCCGAGCTTTTCGCATCCGCACGAACGCCGCCACCCTCTTGGATCAAGGCGCAGATGCAGCCTCTAAAGCGATAGTCCAAGTTACAGAATAATTGGTGGTACGTGTAGATCTTTCATAGTCGCAGCTCTGGGTCATTTACTCTCGGCTTTGGCATCCGCGAGTGTGAAGGTTGACGACCCCCAAACCTGATTATTCTCTTGCAAAGCATTTCTGAGAAACAGGACTCCGAGTGCCATCAAAAACTGTTCACAATGCTGGCACCTTCAACAACTACAATGCACTTGTAGTTTCATGCCCGCATTTTGGGACAACCATCGTAGATTCCGCTAGGACCCACAATAGAGTCAGGTGTGGAATCGGGGTTACACGAGGAGTGAAGGCGAAGAACGTGACAGTACGTTCTTTCACTCCTGGGAATGTATGGAAAACTGGAGCGATTTGGGGTCCAAGCACACTGTCGCATTCGAAGCCGAAGCTCCGAAGTGCAAAAAGAGTTACCGTATTTGCCCCATTAAAATGTACAGTACGTTTATTTTTTCAAAGTTGATCAGACCTGTACTACTATAGGAGACTGTTTTTTTGTTTTTTGTTTTTTTACTAAGGCCACAGCTTCCAATCATGACATGCAAAGCAGCGTTGCAGCATCGCAGGCATGAATCGTGGACGTGGTGACGGGGTCTGATGTGCTCCACCGACCTAGGGTCTCGGCTTCACTGCACAGCAAACGCGTCGAAAGAAAACGGGTACATGTACTAGTATTGGAGACGTGTACTTTTATTGTTTCTGGGAAGATTGATTGCCTGGGTTAGGTGGCAAACAACTCGTGATAATGATGCTGTTAGGCTGTAAATACACCCAACCATGGTAAGAATCAGTGAACAGAGACACAAAGATGATGAATGGGTAAGAAAAACGAAGTAAGGTGGACCCTGGTATCTGTACCCCACTAATGCCCATCACATCATTCCGGCATGTACTATTATTAGAGACGTGTCCTTTTATATTTTCGATCCACATCCAACATGTACTACAATTGGGGACGTACTACTAGTAATGGAGACGTGTACGTTTAATGGGGAAAATACGGTACATGTACTTCGGCGGTATTAGTAGGTGGCGTTGGTTATGTCCTACGTGGAACGGGCGCTTCGTCAAAACTGCATCCGGCACGCCACGCGCGATTGTGACTCACCCTGCTACCTGGAGTCGCATGCACGAGGTGTTTATCGTGCTAGAAATGGAATGTGACTGTAATGTATCCATTGACATTGTGTTGTTTTAGCTCGGATAACACTACATAGTGCCGTGCTCTCGTAGCACAAACTTCGAATCAAGCTGAACTGATCAGGGGTGAATTCCCCGAAACACTGCGTGTCGAGCAGGGAATAGTGCTTTCTTGTAGGTTTGCCGGATGGAAGGTTAGCCATTCTCCTCCTGTGCTTCAGACGGAAGTAGTGAGTCAGCTCAGTCAAATTAGGGTATCACGTTTCGCAAGACGCGTGAGCTCCACACAACTTCGTCGACTGTTCCCGCCGAAGCTACTTTCCCAGTCTTTTAATTTTTTTGCTGTTGTAAAAAAAGAGGATGATTTTCGAGAGCACAACATTTCCCACATCCTGGATCGGCAAGTCGCCAAGGAAGCTCAAGAAGAGGATGCGACGAGAGTCCCTCTCACCGCCGCCGAAGCTCGGCAAGCCAGGAAAGCAGAGAAGAGTATACGCTGTCATTGCCGGCTAAAGGGTTTCAGGTCAATGCTGCAACCACCGGCTTCTCGTGGACCTAGGAAGTTTAAACGCCTGTCCAGTCACTGGTCTAGTGATTCCAAGCAGTCGTCCGGCAAGTACAGCAGTCTTTCTCGCCACCAGCTGTAGGCGTATTAACGGGAACCTCTTGTGTCCCTTGTGCGGCAAATCGCTTTCTCATAGAGGCAACAATGAGGTAAGTTTGAAACTTTCCTTGCTTCTTAGGCTGCAAGTGTTAGTTACCGGTATGCATCAATCACGGTCACTTTGCCACTGTACTGTGGTTTTCAGGTACCATTAGTGTGCTTTGATGGCAAATGACTGCCCCGTCTCAGAAGCAGCTGATTCAGTGATTGGCCGTGACCAGGGAGTCGTGAAGGCCCTTTCACCACTTGCTGTGCGGAGGGTTTCGACCCTGCCCGTTACAGTCGGCCGGGGAGGCAGGGCCAATTTATACCCGCTGGCATCTGGCATCGCTTGTAATTGTCTGGACGACACAGCACTGAGCACACAACTTCCATTTACCGGTACTGCCTGATTTTCGTTCTCTTTTTCTATTTTATTGGCCACTTTGTCCGCTTTATAGGCAGACTTAGCTCGAAAAGCAGTGAAATTGGCAGAACCATACAAACCTTATGGCAGACACTTCCTTGGATTCTGGTCCATTTCGTTATCCACATATCAACTACTACTAGCATGGCGGCCGACTCATTGACCCTGGGGTCGATCTGGGTCCGGAGGTCTACCACCCTCAGGAGCAGGCTTCACACTTCGGGCCTGGCCCTGGGCCACACGTTCCGACGCAGGGCGCTCCACGGTTACCATGGTTACATGTAGTCAGTACGACAGGAGCAGCAAAAGTTGCCAAAACCGATGCTACGGCACCAGGACGAGATAGATACCGTTGAAGAAGGCGATGGCTGCGTGCGTGCGTCCCAAGGCCAAGCACTCCCGATCCCGATCTCCCCACTGGGCCCCAGTCTCAGTAATCCAAGAGAGCACACCCATGCAGCGTCGGTAAATTATTTGGAACGATTGCGCTTAGTAGCTCACATAATCGTTGTGAAAAAAAAGAAAGTTTGTTTGGTCCTCAGAAAGCCCTGCCAATGCGGAGACGAACACGAAAGACGTTCTTGCGCTTGCTTTCGGAGGTTTCCTTCCCCGTAGTCGGCCTAGACATTTGTCCTTGCCGCAAAGTGAGTTTCGGTCGGATAATCCTGATCATAATTTTGGACCCTTCTCGAATCCACACCATCGTACATTTCGAAGTGGCTATCAGGAGAACTTTGTGAGGGCAATGTTCCTGGAAGAAAGCGATGTCCAACGTGAATGGTATGGCTGGTCACTCGGCGGTTAGAAACCTCAAGAGGCAAGGCTTCATGAGTATCACGGTCGTTCCAAACACAGCAGATACTGCTAGTAAGTAAGGCGTGTAATACTAAAATGACCCTTTCACTCAGAAAATGCAGACGTTTTCGAAGCCAATCTTTATACTGAAGGACACTAGTTCTCACTCGAAATATGAAACATATTGGTGGACCTCCAGGCAGTCAAGTGTCAGCTGGTACCTCTCTGACAGCAACTTGCATGCCATAGACCGATGCCACAATATGGAGAATCATATCGCAGAAATAGTCACAGCACTGTCGTCTCTGCCTCCTTGGCCACATCACTTCAAATCATTGGACCCATGAGCCAGAGGGTATCATCAGGGATGAAAAGATGGCTTCAATGGGGCTTCAATATATTGTTTTTAAAATGGAAACGAATAGTCGGCGGCGAGACAAAAAGCATTACAAAATGCTTTGAATAGAATCAATGTAGTTATCACTACTCTTACTTATCCTATCAGCGATGTAATGCATCTGACGACAATCACAATAACACGTTACTGGATGCGCTAAACCTTCCTATCCTAAACATGATGTATGTATGTAAGTATGTAAGTATGTGTGTGTGTGTGTGTGTGTGTGTGTGTGTGTGTGTGTGTGTGTGTGTGTGTGTGTGTGTGTGTGTGTGTGTGTGTGTGTGTGTGTGTGTGGAATCGTATGCCTTACAAAGGTGTAAGCTTGTTGGCGACCGGACTGCCAAGAGTCATTTGTCTCAATGCACTATAACCGAGTCTCAGTTTGCGGATGACGCCCCGTTGTACACCCATCCAGTAACGGACATGGATGCTGCTGCCGCTTTGTTCGTGACCGTCGCTACCCAGTTCGGCCTCACGGTCAGTTTTGGTAAAACGAAGTGCATGGTCATCAATGCTGATTCCCCTCCGACCGGATGCTTGACGTTGGCAGATGGCGACATCGAAATCGTGAACGAGTTTACATACCTCGGTAGCTGTGTTACTAATGATGGCCAGTTGTCTGTTGAGGTTTCTTCCCGTCTTGCCAAGGCCTCCCGGTCTTTTGGTGCCTTGCGTTCTGCTGTCTTCGGAAACCACCACATCTCTGTGCGTACTAAGACTGATGTTTACTCTGCAGTCGTCCTCTCAACGTTACTTTATGGCTGTGAGTCATGGGCTGTCAAGGCAACCGACACCTGCCGTCTGTCAGTGTTCCACAACCGCTGTGCTCGGTTTATCCTGGACGTCAGCAAGTCAGAACAATGGAATGAGCATCTCTCCAATGCCGTCATCTTGGAGCGGGCTGGTTTGCGATCAGTGGTGGAGATGCTGAGGACGCGCCGTCTTCGCTGGTTGGGGCATGTCGGACGCATGTCGGACGGCAGAATACCGAAGTGCGTATTGTTTGGTAAGCTCAAGAAGACGCGCCCTCACCACGGGCCACGCAAGCGTTGGCGTAACAACGTCTCGATTGACCTAGAGGAACGCCACATCAGTGACTGGTACAGCCTAGCCGAGGACCGTCGTGCGTGGAGACTGGCCTGCAACACCATCCAGCCGCCTAAACCTGTGTCTCGGGATTTCAGGTGCCACTGCGGCCGAGATTTTCGCCTAATTTTTGCGTGCGTGTGTGTGTGTGTGTGTGTGTGTGTGTGTGTGTGCGACGATTATGGTCGCACACGTCTTTCTTCTCTTTCTCATTCTTCTAGCTCTTCTTTCATTCTCCTGGGTGGTTACCAACAGCCAGTGTATGCTGGAGTATGTCATGTGGCGTATGTGTGTAAAAAATGGAAAAATGAAAAAAATAGGGATTCACTGGCCAGAAAAAGCCACTTCAATCAGCTGTGTGGTGGATACCAGGCTAAAATTAGTGGCGGTCAATTCATAAGCCTTGCAAGCTGTTGAATGGTGTAATCCTAGCACAAGTTGCTATATCTAACATAGCTGTCCGTATCATCGCTTCCGCGATGGGCAGGTCTGAGGTCTGAGGTGTGTGTGCACAGGTGATGACTGCAAATTATTCCATTAAAGGCGTTGGTTGAAAATGCCTTTAAAATGAAGAATCTTTGCTTTGAATAACTCCCTCGTTCTTTTCTGGTCTGCTCCAGATACAGACGGTATAATAACGAGAGAGCTTAGAAGCTCAGGGCCCTACGCTAAGCCTGTTTGCCTAGCTGATCATGCATGTTATTAGAACTGATGGAAATGCTTTTTCCATTGATTGCCTACATCATTGTATTGCAAAAAAGTTTCAATTAGTTTGAATATGAGTTAGGCAAAAGTAATTGCAGAATAATGACCTAGGCAAAAAAAGCATAGGGATGTTATACATTTTTCATTTCTCCTATTGTTTTTTAAGACATAACCTGGGATTCGAATCCGCACTGTCGCCCTACATGCATTCCCCCGATACACTTCGCATACATACTCATTCTTCCGAGATGCTTCACGTTATGATCTTGCATTTGGAAGCCCTATTTGAATATTGTGGCCAGCTGTCTTTGATGGTACGGGGCAGGTACGGGATAGCGCCAGGCATGCAGACGGCACAAACACACAAACACGGAATTAGAGCTGTGTGGACCCTGGCTAGCGCCAGACATTACTAAAGTAACGTCTTTTGCATAGGTACGGGAATCAGCACCTAATCCTGTCCCTCCAGGAATCCGCGATTCCGTGGCTGCGGTAAAATCCGCGAAATTCCGCGGAATTCATGTTTTTTAAATATCCAGCGGAATTCACAGTTTTCACCGCAGAATCGTGAAAAATCACGGTTTGGGAGCAATGCGAGCACGCGCTTCATATTCATGCACAGTGCAGTGTCCTGTCGCTATTTTGTTGCATTCAAACTGTACCAGTTTTCTTCGTTACTGTATTGTCTATTGAGCCTATCGTGTGTTTTCGACCACTAAATTTTTTATTGATACTTGTACATAGCATATAGCCATGTCTTTTCGCCGGTGCAGCGCCGCAGAAATACCGCAGTATTGCCGCAGAATTCACGCTATCCGCCGCATAATGTAGCGATTTGTGCCGCAGAATTTCAACTTTCTGTCCGCGGATTCCTGGAGGGACGGCTAAACCTGTGAATAAGCCAGACTGCTATGTCATAATATGCAACATTGTCCAACTAAAAACTGTACAACAGTCAAGTGAATTGAGTGGCCGATATGCTGGTGTCACGGTCCTATGCGCGTGCTAGTAGAGTATCTAGGCCTGCTGCTCTAGGATCTGGAGCTGAACCACAAAGTCAACATGAAAAACGGAAAAACACATCTATCAGTGGTAATCATTGTCTGTTCTGGTGAATATTTAAAACACATTCACTGCTGTGATTTCGCACTTTTATATTTGCCCCATGATGCAGTCATTTACGCTTTGCACTGCCATCATTCACAACTTTTAGATTTGCGCCATGATGCAGCCATTTACACTTTGCTTTGTGAGTACAAGTATATAAACCAATAATGATCCAGATTACTAATTACTGTTCTCTGATGATCGCTTAGTGCGTGAAACTCGGAGTTAAAACACTTTCTCTGTCCTCGTATTGTTTAAAACACATTCTGTTAAATGGAAACCAGGAAAAAGGCCGGGCACAAGTTACGTGGTGGACTCTAACGCATACCTTGTGCCCTACCATTTTCCTTGTTTCCATTCAATCTTTGTTCTGGCGATTATTGATGAAATCTGAACTGTACTAGTATGATGCTGTTTGCTTCTGGGACGTCTGAAGCATTACCAGTTGCTGATTAAAGTCACTGACGTAAGCCTTCGGGTGACTAGCCATGAGTTGCCAGCAAGTAGTCGTCATACTGATCTGAGGCTCGATTTCCCTGGCATGCTACATTATGTTGTGCTCAGCAAGATACAAGAGACTTCTCTATTGCCTGCTTTGCGGATGACGCATTTTTGGATTTTTATCTTCCTCTCCTGCACAGGTCTTTTTGGATGAAATCTGACATGCTGGTTATGATTCATTGTCACGTGGCCGTTCAGCAGTGATGTCATGGAGGAAGGCACTGAGCAACTCGGCATTATTGTGCATCCTCTTGGCCAAGGTGAGTGTAGTTCTGGCGCCGCACATTACTCACAGTAGGAGGTGGTCAGATAACACATGACAGAAATTTGGCATGATCAATTGGTGTGCTCAGGAGTTGCCTCACATGAACAAAAAAATAGAGAGTGAGTGAGAGTCAGGAAGTGAGAGTGAGGAAGTGAGACTGGGGAAGTGAGAGTGAGACTGAGCGTGAGAGCGAGAGTGAGTGAAAGAGAGAGAAAGAAGTAGAGAGAGAGGGAGACAGAAGAAGGGGATGTGTTGAGCATAATGGGGGAAATGCATTATTGATGAGCTATTACGAGTGGTCACGGTAAAGCTGGCATGTGGCTTATCTTGTAAACTTATGAGCTAGCAGCGTTATAGGCAATATGTTCCATTGAGCCCAACATTGGTCAGATAATCATAATTATTGTACCAATCTCAATCATCTTGCATTTACATGTATCTCCTTAGGCAAAGTGATGTACCTGAAGCAAGTCTTCTATAGAATGGAAACGCTTTTTTGCGCAACGTGGCATTGGAAGCAAATCCTTGTGTTTGGATGGCAACTATTCTAGATACCCAGCATGCCACGCATGAGCAGTTAGTGTGAGAAAATGACAGTCACTGCAGAGTTCTACTTCAAAGTAGCCGACTTCCTAGTAATTTTAACTGTAATGCACCCTACACTGTACTTGTCACGTACATGTATAGCTTTTACACTCTGTTGCATTACAAAATAATGTATAGCACATTAGGGTGATAGACACTGATAGTACGTTCCACCTTTTGGTAGGATTCATCGAGTCCGGAACAAAGCCACAGTGCGTGCTCGACTGTTTTCCACGTGCCCTTGTCTCAATGGATCGGTGTAAGACGGTAGCCGTCCTGCCCCTGCTCATAGTCTGGCAGCCATGCCCGAAGACAGCGCTCATTGTGCATGTCTAGTCGGTGTGGACGTGGTGCTCAACAGCTGTCAGTGCACAGCCTGTATTTGCAGTGAGACCTGACGTTTCTGCCCTTGGCGCGGGAATCTGACTGATGGTTTCTGGCACAGGTCAACAGCAATTGACACTGCCCTTCTAGCGTCGTGTGACTTCGTCGCCAGTTCGCTGACAAGTCTCAAACAGACATTGTGAACGACTTTGTGTAGTTCTGTGACCTGTCTTGATCTGCCTGTCTAGCCCTATATCACACCTGCTGATATGTATGCTGCTTGGGTTCTGTGCTCGGCGTGTTTTTTTAGGACGCGACCACAGTGGCGACACGTCGTCTAGGGCTCAGCACCCCCTCCCTATCCCTGTCAATAATACAACTCGATAGGTGTCAGCTACTGACAGGCCAGAACTCATCTCAGCACCCGATGGACAGTGGAGTGGAGCCGCCTGGGATGTTTACTACTACAATGTGATCTGGTGAGAATCTCCTTCCCATCTGGCTCTCAACATCGGCTATAATCATATTGGAACCACGATGAGAATCATGTACACGTAGGCACTCACGACTATGATGCATGCAAAGAACAAGAAATCACAGCAATATCCTAATCATACATGTACAGTGTACAACACCATCCGATACTGGTACAGAAACGTGCCTATGCAAGCATTGCTGGAGAGATTGCCCAACAAACAGAACATGCAGAAATCTTGACCAGAACACAATGGAACATGTTCTCTTCACTGCCATGCCATGCCTCCCAGTCTACACAAAATAACTTATATATAGCAATGAATGTAACAGACTACGGTGATAATGAGAAATCAAGATGCTGGCAAGGTTGAAGCAGCACATGGTGTGTAATTTCTACAACTCACAGGTCTAGATCACAATTCTATTATTCCCCTCAAAATTCTGAAGACAATGACCGGTCCCTGCCTGGAGGAGGACTAGACCATAGCCTAGTGATAGAGGATCGCTGACCATAAGCGAGTGTCCCTGGTTGAGTCAATTTTTCTTCAGACTTTTCGCTTTTTAATTCCCTGAAATTTATGGACACTTTTCTCCTCCTTGCAATTCTTACAATTATTTTTGAATCCTGCATCCATGATCAGGAGGTACCGCAAGTAAAAAGTTTGTTTTGGCCTTTTCAATGATTTCAATAACACTAACTACAGTGTACATCACAATCACAATGTGCGTATCGTGCTGGTTATTAGTCTAGATTGCATTTACACAAACATTTTAGGTGGCGTGCATAGAAAACGGTTGTGCGAGAGTGTGATCTGCATGCCAATACTTATAGTTATATGCCATGAAAGGGGAACCAGAAATGTCGAGGACAGAATGAAATCAGAACATTCGACTCTCCAATCCAGCCATGCAAACCTCACAAGAGTCAATAATAATGATGAGTCCTTCACCAGTCTGAACTTTCAGGATCAGACAAGCACTTCAACCAACAGTAGCACCCTACCCTCACAAACATCTCACGATCACATGTATTTCGACACTCCATGTTCTTTTTCTCAGGATGATTTTGACGATGAGACTAGGAAAGGATAAATCATTATAAAACTTGTACAATTTGACCTAAATCTGAAAAAGGGTAAAGCAGAAAAAGGTGCAAAAGCTCTGTATGACGTGGACCGGATAAGCAGGTTCATTGCCTTAGAAGTGGTGTATATAACGGTGACAATACCATCGGTGAAAGTAGAAGCTATTATTATTCTTTGAAGGGCTATAGGCGAATGGGATGTGGGTCAATGATGGGGTTGCTCAATGGGTTGGGTACTCATTTCAGATGAGATAAGTGGACAAGACACTTCCATTTCACAGGTTTCTTTGGCGTTTTCTGGATAAATTCGAAAAGGGGATTCTAGGTTTTTAACTTCTCTTGAAGGAGACACAACACGCCGCACACATGCTCACCGCAATCAACAAAGCATGCTCTGTAGGGAACAGGCTCTATAGGGAAAGACAGCGCTACCTCGCACGCACACAAACGCGTACACAACCCACATACACACACACATGCACAGCATTGTCTCGACCGCATACACACTAATTGAAAAAAAAAGAACACGTGCTCTTGTAGTTCTGGTACGACTATTCGGAGCAGGGATTTCAAGTTTCTGTAACCATCAGCGAGACGACAGGAGCAGTCTAACGGATTACTAGTATCCGGTAAGTGTAGATGAGTTCGGGAACAGGCTAGTACTCAGAGGTCAACTCCTCCACGACTGAGCAGTAACCCTTCTCAGCACAGCCACCGATGCAGAACAGGCGAGTGCCAAGGCTGACCAGGCAGGCCGCCGAGCGTGGAACATTCAGCGACGGCAGCTCGTCCGCTTCTTGTCCGCCGCCGGTGAATCGCACGGTGGCCGCGTACCCAGTGCGCTTCATCATCGGCTTGCGATACAGTCCGCCGACAAGCAGCAGGCTAGAGCCGGTCGACATAGCAGCAGGCGCCAGCTCTTTCACACTCGAGACGGTGATCCAGCCGCCCATCAGATTTTTCAGAGGCAGGCACTCCACAGTTTGCATCGTGTCAAATCCCATCAGCTTGGATCCAGTGCCACCGGCTGCAGCAGCGGAGCAAACACGAGAGCACAAAATCCACGTAAGTAATCGGTAACACCCAGCTAATCACAAGCAATGCCTTCACTGAAAGACCTATGTGCCGACCACAGCTGAGCCCAGTATTGACTCAATACTGCATACAATGCACTTTTGTTGGCCAATGTTGCCCTATTGCTGCAAATATATGCGAAATCAAACAGAACTACCAGCCATGGTAACAAGGGCCACTAATACTGAGACAGCTCAATACCAGCTCTGACAGAGCATAAACTGTAGTGCAGAAACACTAGCTGCCATACCGAATACAACACCTATGGACTGATTGCATGGTGGATGAACAAGATAGCAGTCAATCCGCAACAGTATACTGTACTCACCAACAGTGTAGAGGCAGTCATTCGCGTGGAGCAGGCGTGCCGCATGGCGTCGATTCCTCATGGCTGGCCAGCCGTGATTCCATGTCATCGAGGCGACTGAGAAGGACTTGACCGAGCTGCAGCTGCCGGTCTCGTCCTTCATGTCACCACCCGCCAGGATTATATGCTCACCAACCATACAGGGCGCACAAGACGTCTCACCTAAGTAAAAAAAAGCATCAAGTGAGAAAGGAGAAAATATGTTCAACGTAAGAAGGAGCAGAATGAAGCAAATACACTATAGTCTCCTTCCAAAATACGCAAGGTTCCTCATCACGAGAACCCTACACCAAAAGTGAAAGAGACACAACGTAATCGGGCACACTTTTTAATCTCACATCAGACAGCTAGCCCAGTTACTTACCACCGATTGTGGCACTCAAGAAGATCCACTGCTTCGTGGATACATCTAGGCGCCAGATCGAATCGCCTCCTTCCTGAGCTGTCACCATGTACATGCGATTTTCGTGAGAGAACAGGCCAGTTGGGTACACGGCATCGGGCGGTGATGGGACATTGACGTTCACAAATCTTTTCTCCTTCTCGTTCAAAACGTACAGGGAAATTTCTGGCAGTGGCGTTGGGCTATGCGAACGAAGCTCGGTGCCGACAATGGTGTCCGCGACGTACAGGCGACCAACATGCTCGGTTGCCGCACACAGGTTCATGCTGTTTCCGGGAAGGCTCGGCTGTTCCACCCACTGCAGTTCATGCAAGAAAAATGGCCAAAAAGACATTGTTAAAGGTCAATGCTGACAAATCTACAACATGCAAAGATTCCAAAGCAGGAATCCATTGTAGCAATTCATTTACCCACAGCCCAAATGTCCACTTTACTATCAATACTGTTCCCATTTTCAGGCCAGGGCTATCTTCAGAAACTTAAACCAAAGCTTAAATTGGCATTTACAAGCACACTCATATACATCTATTGTAGCCCAGACTCTCTTTGAGTGTTGGGCAACAAACGGAGACAATATTGCAGCTGTGCGCATATACAGACAGGGTTTTACAATATTAACTCATCTAATGGAATGCACACCACACGACTCGTCTGTTTCTTGCTTTCCTTACCTTCATCAGCTTCTTTGCCCGGGCTTTAGCCCACCAGGGACCGGATGTTGGGACGGCGGAATCTTTCTTCTTGCGCTGCTCCTCATCCGACACACTCTTGAGTTTCTTCTCCAGTTCCGTCGGGAGTGGTGTGGCGGGGGCGGTGGTATTCAAGAACATGGCCGCGGTTGTGGCAATATCTCTGTTCGACACGGAGCAGTTTTCACTGTATGTGGGATTGAAGCACTGGTGGTTATCAATAGGAGGTGAGATCGGCCGAAAGGTGCACTCTACTGGCCGGGACCCGAAACTGTCGGCAGGGTCCATGATTAGATCCTCAGATAGCCGGACATAGTCGTCATTCAGCTTGTCGACCTTGGATCGCAGGCGCAGGTTCTCCAGCTCCTTCTCGGCCCGCTCGCGTTTAACGACGGCCAGCTCAGCTTCGAGTGTCCGCACTTTGTCCTCAGCCGCAGAGTTGGCATGATGGGCAGCAACTTCCTCGCTGAAGGCTTTCACTTGAGCATTCTCGTATCTCAGACTCTGGACCTCCTCTTTGAGCTTACGGATCTCTCGCGCTCGCTCCTGCTTCAGGCTATCCATTTGATTGCGGAGCTTTTGCAATTCCTCTGTCAACGAAACAATCTTTTCATCCTTTCGGTCATTTTCCTCTTCCCGCAGTTTAAGGCTCAACTGGATTTCAGACGGGATATGATTGGCCTTCCGCTTGTCGCTCAAGCTTGAGTCGCCGGGCGCTACACAGATAGAACAGGCAGAAAGAGAATGGGGGAAACAGTAAGAAAAGTGCTCCAGATACTCGGAAGACCACATAGAAACTCGGAAGACCACATAGAAATGCAGATGCACAAGCCAAGAGGTGACTGCAAGCACACGAGTACCGTCATGAACCATCCGAGCGTATGCATCATACCCAGTACTTCACTTACACTGCGTCGCAGCTGGTCGCTTAGCACTGCGGAGAAGCTCGGGACGGGGCGAATCTCCCGTTTGTGATACTGAAATATGCCTCTCGGTGAAACCAGATGGACAGGCAAACTCCGTGGCGGAGCTCTCATCGTCAGAGTCTGGAAACTGGGGCAATTTCATTTGAAGGCCGCCAGGACTTGAACCATGGAATCCTAAAGCAAACAAACAAAATCAAACAAAACAGGGATGAGTGCACAATTTACTGACCAGGCCAACCCTGTGAAGCAGTACTCCATGACAGATTTACGCAGTACACAGATCTGAGCAATCGATCGAAGTCACACTCATAATGTGCGTCTCAGCAGACAACCACTATCAAGTTCAAACAGAAGGCTACAGACTTCGGGCGAAAATCTAACTGGACGCCAGCAGCGATCCTGGCAGACCTGCGCCTCAAGCAGCCACCACTGGGCCTTTCAAATCCATTTCTCATGTCCCGATAAGCACTGGGGATGAGCAGCCCCAGCCAGCAATGACTGTTCGAAGCAGTGCACCACAGCAACAGTAGCTGCACCCACATCGCGCCCCCATCCAGGGGCTCTAGCATTCAGCTGTGATAGCGGCCTACTTTCACTAGCACTCAGCATACCAATTCCACTTCTGGCTGAGTGCATATCTCCCCGTATCTACGCTGGCTGAGCACCACTCCTACCCACGGGCAATTGCAATCAGACAACTTGACTTAAACTGCAACATGAAGGCAGGCAACAGCTAAGAAACATGGCACGTTGACTACCGCACAAGCGCAGGAGCTCATAGACAGAGGTTGCAGTGCACCTTTTTTATGCCAGGCAGCACAGGAAATTGCTCCATTTCATATGCACACCAGTTCAGGCAGCGTGGACTGTCTTTGGATGCTCACACAGTTTGCAGACATGTCCACACAGCTGTCCTGCACAACAGCCAGCAGCAGCCCAAGTGCTACAGGGGCTGACACTGGTGGACAGATTCATGCACAGGACACCATGCAGGATATGATGTCGGCCAGAACGTCCACAGCTGCATGGCCACATTGCAGCATGGCACAACCCAGGAAGGATCAGCCTACCGGAACCTATGCTGCCAACACACCAGACTCTTGCTGGACACAACGCTAGGGCTGCTTGAACTTGAAGGACGAACAGTGATCCTACCCACCCAGCAAGGACACCAGTAGGCAGTACCCTGGATGTGCATTAGTACATTCCGTGACACTGAGAGGCAGGCCAGGACACCCCCAGCCGAACACTTTGCGCCCCAGTCTGCAGTGCAATGCTTGCCATCTTCCGTACAAATGCTTGCCATCTTCCGTACAGAGCCAAGGGCCATGAAGGCACTGAATGGTAGATCTAAGATGTCCCATGATGCATCCTCAGTCCCAGGGATCCTATTGACTGCACGTATTTTATTACTTCGAAGTATTATTATCATTATCAGTGAGATTGCCAACAGCAGCAACAACAACTGATCAAGCAACACTGTTGTATTCAGCAGCAGCATAGAAAGTGATCAAGAACGGACAGGTAATTACTGGACCACAGCCCCGAAATACGATCCTACTCAAGCCTTCTAACACCTTGTCCACAAGCACCTCACACACTCCACCGGATCGCTGAACCCCCATTCAAACATTCGAAAAGGATAAGTGCGTCCCTAGGCTAATGTCACGATGGGCACGCCTGACGCGCTCTGGTGCGCCTTCTACCAGCCCTGCGCCAACGTCATCAGCTGAGCGATCAGCTGGTCTCCAGGTCAGGCCCAACCCCATACACGCGAAAATTAATTTTACAACAGAGGATCAAACATCGGAACAAGACCAGAGGTCACAACAACGCCAACGGGTTGGACATTGCCAGAGTAAGGACAAACAAAAGTGGAAACAGGGCCGCATGCATCAATAAATCCATTCGCACCGATCTTACCTGAACTATGTAGAGCTGGAGAAGCATTCGCAGAGGGCGACTTGTTGTGACTTTGTTGCAGGCGAATCGTTTGATTTGAAGTTGAACTAATGTTAGTAAGATGCGTGACACTAAGAGTTTGGAGCATCTTGATGCTTTCTTTTCCGTCAAGTAGCCGGCAGGACAAAACAATTACTGCAGAGGAGAAGAAAACGGAATAACAAGAACAAATTCAATGGGTTGTGAAGAGATGCTGCTGTAGGGTTCCGTATCCTGGCTACCCCAGCAGTTTACTTTGACGGGGAATAGGCACATAATTATTATGCCGAGTACTACATGCACTCGGGAAAGCAGATGCCAAGCAAAATGAAAACGACAGCCACGCGCTACAATAATTGTACCTGGTGCAGAGGATGAACGAGCGAAAACCACTGTCGCTGGCCACGACAACGGCATTGCATGAGAAACGAGGTGAGCTAAACACTTTGCTTCGCGAAACTTTCGAGATGCACACGGTCGACCACACATCACCCCTGTCTATAACTCCGAATGAAACCAATACTATTCGTTTCGAGATGACAACGTTACTGAAGTCTATTGACTCCGAACCTAAAGATAAACGGATATCTCACGATCGGATCACGCACGACAGTATCGCTGACTAGAATGCTCAAGAAAGACTTGACATCATAAGCATTAGCATCATCAGCACTGCACTGCACCGAACCCACGTCAAGGACAAGTCGATAGGACTCGGATCGAGCCAAAAGCAAAAGCAATCACTTGAATCAGTGGAGAGATCAGCGCTTGTGCAACGATCGCGCAATAATCACGTGTTTGACTACACACACATAATATTATCATCACACTGAGTCATACACAGCGAGCCAGGGCCAGGGCAGGGGAGATCCACGACGGACAGGACGATCAAGGACAAGGCGTCAGCTCCGGGGTTCCACGTCGAATCCGATTGTAGCTGGGAAAAATACCGGTGCACTTCGAGTCGTGCATTGCACGGGGAAGCCCCACAAAGCAGGCAATGCCAATCAGCTGATCACTCGTATCTCTATGCGCTCCACTGACTTGTCAGGCCGGGAGCCAGGCTTCGCTGTACACATGGTACAAGTGGCAGGCAATGCAGCCTGGCTGTGTAGGCAGCTGCAGTGGTGAGAGGCCGGTCTAGCGAAGTGCATTATGGACCATAATGCCAGTACAGTGGAGACTGCATGCAGTACATGTACAATCATAGCCATTCAACATTTTTACAGTCGCACAATTTTTTTAAATTGAACACGACGCGCGCGAGGCGCGGCCATGGCCAAGGAAGGAAGACGACGTAACAGATGCTCTTCGAACAACCATTGCCAAGCAGGCTGGCAGCTGACAGGTACCCAGATCACAACAGAGGTGAACGAACGAACAGCGGGCACCACACCTTGCCTGGCAGTTGAATAGTCTGCGCCTGGGCTCAAACGTACCTCTAGAGACGAGCATCATAATTATTTATACGAACCCTGTTCGAAATACGCCAATCTAAGTCGATCATTGTATAGAATTATAACTCCCTACTCTTTCTTACCTTATCAACGACGAACGGCTCTTGACTCAAACTTGGTTCCGCTGTTGCGAAGACTATGACAACTTCTTGCGGAGGATTTGGCAAGCGCGCACACCACGACTTCTGCACTATAGACAAGTAAAGAATATTGCGAAATACGGAGCTACTCGTTGCTGACTGGTAGTAGAATGCAGCTAAAAGCGAAGGAAAGTGCAGCGAAATGGTTTGGTTGGGTGCACTGCTAGGGCAAAAGGGGAGCGATGAAGATGTCGTTCCCGTGCGGGGGTTGCAAGCAACTGAACGTTGACGTGAAGGAGAAGAGCTGTTTTCATGCTCCAAACCGGTTTGCTGCTGACAGCTTTTCTCGCACGTGACCTCGATCTGATTGGCCAGCTAGAACAGTGTCACCGATCCTAGGCTACGGCCAACAAGGCTGGCAGCATGCAGCACTGCCAGCAGCTCTCTGGCTCGGCGGCCAACGAACGATAGCAGTGCATGCAGTCTGTATGCCTGCAGGCGATGATCGGGATACAACACCACGGCCAAGTCAGTGTATCTACCATGTGCCAGCACTGGCAGGTTTTGCGCCTCTGCTGAGCAGCACACACAGGCCGTTGTTGCTTGTTCTGCGCATCCTGCTAATGCACTAGTTACAGTGACTTGTTTTCTTGTGCTTCACTAGATACATCCCCAGGCTAATGTCGGAAGAGACATAATGTCATTGCATGCTGGAGACTAGCCAGTCGACTGCGCACTACAATCTACACGAATCTTGTGGATGGGGTGCCAGCTCTAGTACTACTACTAGTACTACTACTACTAGTACTAATAGTAATAGTTCCGCACAGAGCAGTGGATGCAACGGGTTCACTTCCCTAGGCCCTCACTCTCGGCGACGAACAACAACTCGTCTCACTCTGACCTCTGAGGCCAATGCCCGCCATGTCTAGTGCACACTGCACTGCAGGCTGGTACTACCAGCCTGCAGTCCAGTGGTAGGGTTAGATTCCGTGACGTGAAGACTCGGAAATCTGCCAAGCGCTCCTGCTGGAAAGTGTCACTTTTGCTTCAACCTGCATGCACATGTTTCTGACCTGCCCTTGGCCTGTAAAAAGAGTCCACGCTGCCCTGTGCATGCCGTGTAGATCTACCAAGGCTAGTGTACGGAGTCCGAGCAGTGAGATGCTGCCAAAGCGCAGAGATCGCTAGAAACGATCTTAAAAAATTCTGTGTGACTGTGATGACAACTCCCTACCCTTGGCTGTGCGGCCAACCAGTACCTGCGACTGGTGACAGGGTTTGAAGAAAGCCCCCAGTCACTGGGAGTGGGATTCTTGGCACACGCGCCAGGCAGTGTCTCGGTAAAGTAAAGTAATTGCTTTGACTTCTGCCCACTTATACTGCACTAGACGTCTTGACTTGCGACTTGGGTAGTTTTTTTTTCACGTGCTGTGTTGGGCACGCACCATGCATAGTGTTTGTCCAATGATTATGTCGGGAGTGCAACAGCAACCTTGGCATTGGCAGCGGTACATGTACTATCATACTGGAATGTTCAATGCCTCTGCTAACTGCTAACTGCTCAGCCTAGCGCCTAGGCAATCATTCTGATTATAATAATTATTGAGAAACATTCAGAAGCGAACACAATCGTTAGTGACTTTGGCAACAGTCAGTAAAAGCACGGATTTCCATCGTTGCACGGTCTGCAGTGACTGCATGGTACTGAGTACGTGGTGTGGGTTCCCCGAAGACAGCAACATTGTAGTACAGTCATGTACTCTGTTGTGGTGTTGGAACTGACGTTACGTAACTAATTTACTTGTGCAGCCGTAACTGCATGCATGCGGTGCACTGATCTGACCTCTGAAAGTCTGATTATTCTGATCGACGGACTGTGAACCATCCCGCATCAGCTGATCGCCAGCTACGAGCTGGACCGCAAAAACTGCATTGAGTACGGGGACCTGCAGTGTGTATGTGTGTGTGTGTGTGTGTGTGTGTGTGTGTGTGTATGTGTGTGTGTGTGTGTATGTGTGTGTGTGTGTGTGTGTGTGTACGTACGTGTGTGTGTACATGTATGTGTGTGTGTGTGTGTGTGTGTCAGTGCATATTCGCGTATGTTTTAGAAGCTTCGCTGGCGTTGTTCTCCCTTCTTTTTCTTGTGACTACTGTCACCGATAGTACCTGTGTTTACGGGCTAAATCGCTCTTTTCTTGCGCCGGCACATCCCATGGCACTTCAGCAGTGCTGAATGCTGGTCGTTGTGGGGCTTCACCGCACCGCACGGTAGGACCGGCTAAAGAGGACGCTTGGCGAGATAAACACTGGCATTGGGTCAGTGGGTGGATGGGTGATCGCAGCGAGCCAACCCAGAACACAGTGACTGACCGTGTATCTCGTCTCTCTGCTAAAACTGTAAAAGAACCAGGGCCGCATTCGCCTCCTGCTGGCAGTCGACGTTGTGCAACACTGGCCGCCATTTTGGGCTTCATCGGAAGCTCGTTGGCCGAAGAGGCCGACGGACCGATACGGGACACTTGTAAAGCATGATGTCTTGATGATGGCTAGAGTACAGACAACTAGTGCACTTTGCGAGTGGTCCTGATCTGCTATTTATGGAGTCTCTAGCTGTTTTTCTTGGTGAACTGTCACGGAGGCCACTGACCAGAATACTATCATAATTGAACACTATTACCGTAATACATGTACGTCATGTACACGTGTATCCACCATGAAAGATTTTCGAGACAAATGAAAGGTCTACATGTAGGTAAGTTAGCTGATCATTGCCACGCATCCTAAACCATTCTTGCCCGCTCTCCAGACGAGTAAAGACCAAGCAAGAATCATTGAAGAAGTATTTCACTGCACCCGAACCAAACCAGGGTACTCGTACCCCGAATCACCTCATGAGCCTTTCAGCAGCAAAATACACTGAGCGTAAATTTGGATGCTCACCCTGCCCTGTTTTTTCTGTTAACCATGGTGTACATGTATGTACTGTATATGTACATGTATGATGAGCCCGGAGGGACAGATCTTTTCCATGGATCCAAGAAACGTTCATTATACTGCCAAGATTTTTTAGGATGAGAATTAGGAAAAGAGAGAGAAAGTAAAACAATAATATTGTGACATGTACACAATTATTGTATTCATTGGTTTGAAGTAAGATGCAAACGGGAAAAGTCTGAAGATAAAATTGAACACGATTGTACAGAGTATTTTGACGATACAGTAAGCCAAGCACAGTCTATTATTACTAAGTAGCTTAGTGTAATGGAGTGTGCCAAATTGCCAATACTGGCGATAGACCATCAGGTACATGATTGTACATGTATATCTATGTGTAATAACCAGCACTGCATCGGTAGTGTGACGTGTGTTTACAGTCAGTAGTCATGCTTTTGCAGTACATGTACAATGCCAATGGAGTGAAGCATGCATAATACTATGATCAGCCATTAATTTTCACTCAGCACTAGTGTCGACCGTCCGTGGAGATTGGATTTGCAGCCCAGACACCTGTGCAAGTACGGCGTTCTAGCAGCTGAGTGACGTGTGCGGTCAGCTGATGTTGGGAAGGTGGCAGCCTCTGTCAGATAAATGCGAGCCAGGAAAGATAGCCTTCCCACTGGCACTGGAGCCGTCCTGGCCTGCCGTGTGATGGCTGCTTTACTTGAGCCAAGTAACAAGTTGAGAAGCATGGTCACTCAAGCAGTAAATCTCACAAGGTCCTGGGGGCCATCTTCCCGTGTTCATTGAGGAGCGCCACTAGTAATAGTGTCCCCACCAATCTAATTCCAAGCCTTGGTGGCGTAGATTCCACTTGATCACGGTTATGGTGTGTCGTCTACAGACATGTTCAGTGATGCCTTTGCCTCTCCCGATTATGTACGGTCATGTATCAGCGTTGCAGCGGCAGCCCACAGTACACGGGTACCTCGAGGTTGCGTGCAACGCACCAGAGTCTCAGAGATGGGCCGCATCCGTCTCCCATCGCCTCAGCTGATCCCGGGCGGTGAGGCAGTTAGGGGTCCTTCAACTACATTGCCTTTTGACACTATACCTTGGGCTGGTTGTGCCTGGCTGAATGCTGGAAATTCTCCGGCGCTACGAAGTACGCAGTAATATGGTTGAGCTTCTTGGGCGTATTGTGTGCCCAGTTCTGCGTGGTTGAGTCCATTTGGGGCTGTAAATGGCGTGCCAATACAGCGATCAGGACGTGGCGTTCAGTCATGCCTGTCCGCCTCATCTCGTACCCTGACATAGTGTCTAACTGGTCAGCATAGCTACACATCTCCACACGTCAGGCTTGGCCGAGATGCGCAGGCCAGGGTGACATTTGAACGGACATCTTGCAATACGGTGGGGTATACTAATTACCCTTACCGCCTGGTCCTATAGTGTGTACGAGTACATGTCTGTATGTAGCATTCCGCATCGCCTCACTACAGCTGCCACGCCATGGGGATCGTTGAGTCTCCAACTAGCTACCTGATGGTCGATGATCGCGAACATGCAGCAAGCATGCTAAGAATCTCGCCAAGCAACACTCTCAGCAAAAGGTGATTCAGTTCTTAAAGGTGGGAGCAACTGCCAGATTTGGTCGTGCACGACCTGTTGGTGATCTGGCGTGGCCATTCGCAACATCATGAACGCTGAACAGCTGCGAACGCATATTCGCTGTTGGGTTCATAGCTCATTGGGCTTGCAGGCTGCTGCCAATGCTGGCAGGAAGTCATGGATTACTCAAGCTCAACATCGACTCCACATCCCTGCTGTCACCAAGTGACATTATAGTCGGTTCGGTACTCCCACACGAATTTCGCGTGCACTGTCACACTTTGCACGCCCAGAAAAGGACAGGCGCCTACGCGAACCACACGAATGACGCGTGACTGTATGTGGAGGACATTGTTATCAACTAATCACACACTTGGCTCACTGCGCCGAGCCTGTGAGTTAATTAATCTGGTAATGTGGGAGAGAAGGCCAGCGCCTTGGACTGGCCTCTGCTGTTCAACCGCCAAGGCCATGTATTTCACGACCTAACTTTCCGATGTCTTCCTCGCCGTCGACACCTTGCTACAGTAATGTCAGTATCTAGACTCAGTACACTAGGGTGGCGTGAGGGTGCGACCCTCCCTACTACTAAGTACTACTACTAGTACAATACTACTCTACTCTAGTCTAGGCTATTGATACGCATGGCTGCCAGGGTTCCTGCCTTGGTCAAAGGTGTCATGACCAAAGACAGAAATAAAAAGGTGCCGCACAGCCATAGATATGGTCGACCCTGAAAG